GCTGTTTTGTACTATTTTGTGGGTCAAAAGCTGAAAAGTTTGGGAACCATTGCTTTAGAAGATGCTATAAATTACATTAACTGGTGGTGATATGTAAGCTASCTGTAGCCAGCAGCTAACTGCATTAACTTTACACAGGATAAATCTGTTCTGTGGAGAGTTTAACTTACTTTCTGTTTCTCTGTAAAACACCTCCTAATGTTGTGTGTCTGTGGAGGGATACAATCACACACRCTGCCTTCTAGAAGCAGCTAGAAGTTAGTTTTAGGTTAAATATTTGCACTCCTGGAATTCACCGTCATCTTCCTCCCATCTAACCCAGTGGAGGCAGCCTGACGCCGGTCATGTCCGACTCCGGCTGCTCGTCCCCACTGGTACCTGCTGCAGGCTGCGGTGCTGACTGGAGGTAACCAGGAGAACCCGGAGCGGACTTTTAGTGTGATGAGTTTTCTCCTGTCAATCAAACCGAATGGATTCTTTCATCAAGTCACCTAACAAACGCAGCGCTGTGTGAACTGATGAGACGAATGTGGAGGGGTCCAAACGGATACTTTTAAAAAGTGGGGGGGGCACATCCCCTTCACTTACTATTGTTGTGACGCATATGATCTATACTGATTAGAGATGCAAGTTATTGATTAATGGCTTAATCTACAGTTGATTGATCTTATCAATCGACTAACAATTAACTGATAAGCAACCATTTTCCTAAAAAACTGACATTTCTCTTGAATCAAGGGTCTTTCTATGACATGAAGGCTAATTTCTTACACTAAATAAAAAAGCACTGTATTATATTTTATAAAATGTATTGTGCCAGCTGTATTAAACATTGACTGAATAAACAGAAAACTGTGGATTTCTCACACATTATTAAACTTGGACATATTTATAAAATATAACAAAACAGGAATCTGTTAGGTTGCTAGCTGAAAAAAGGTAAAAAATATATATATATAAAAGTAAAACATTTGATCCACCCTGAACAGAGAAATGTAACACTAACATTTAAACACAGGGTAACATGTTAATCTAGAGATTTACTCAAAAAACAAATTATAAGCAGGACATGAGAGGAGATTTGTTCTTTTGTTTTTATTTTTTGTTCCGCTCTTGGAGGAGTAAGATGCTTTTTCCTCCTCTCCTGCCCTTCCTTATCTTCCCTGCTTTGCTGCTCGGAGCCTTCTCTACGTTTTCATCCAAAACCAGAAATTATGGATATTTTTATTTTTATGCATTTTGTTAGCTGGTCTCTTAATAAAATTTTTGGAACAAAGTTTTTTCTTCCATGGGAGGACATGTCAAAGGTGGGACCTCTGTTCTGGATATTTGGACTCCGATCACTGGATTCTGCAGATTGGCTTGGTGGTCTCCTGGTGTTCTACAAAACAGCGTTGGTGGCTGTTCATTTCCTGGCTGCCTGACCGTTATGAAGGATTGCCGTTCTATCAGCACTCGGACATTGTGCCTTGAGCGAGCCGGACTCGGTCTGCAAGCGGTTCTGCTGAGGGTCGTGGGCCGGCTGTGGTCCCTGGACTTTGCTGGCCAGATGGAATTGATCTTGGAGAAGTTGATAGCTCGGTGGGATTGCCCACACTATTTGTCTGATTGGATTCACCACATTCGGCTGTACCAGCAGACATTAAGGCAGAAGAAAAACTGCTATTGTCTGTCTGACCCAGGGCTCTAGAGTGCGACTAATTTATTTTTTAAAAGTGCGCCTTAAAAATGTTTCCGGTTGCACTGGTGCGCCCTGTCGGGGAGGGGGGGGGGGGGGGGGGGGG